TAAGCAGTAAATTTTGTTTTGTATATTATAATTATCATAATTTTTAGGTTTTTACATTAATCAAGTGAAATACAGCTTAATTTACAAACCTAAAAATTTATAGAATTTATTGAATTGTAAAATTTTGATAACTAGTACCTACTGTAGAATCCTGATTTTCCGAACATCGATTATCCAACCATCCGATTATCCGGGCTCATTCGTCACTGCTTTAACTGTCGATTTAAAAATGTTTTGACGCGACAAAGAGACATGTTACGACGAGTTTATACCTCCGACGTGTATTCCCGGACTCTCGCTCACATTTGCTTGCACGATAGTGTTTGTTATTGTTTTATTTTATTTGCCAGCGTTAAACTGATGGGTACTTAAATTTCGGCAGATCGCGACAATCTTTTTAAAAACACAATTTAAAATATAAAATGATTTAATGTTCTTACGAAGGTAGTTAGTACATAATGAATAAAATTTTATGTTAGTTATATAAGTCTCAACAGTTATCATATCGTCACCGGACAGAGGTGGGAGTTGTTTGTTTTACAATATACAGAAATCTGACTTGCATTCTTATGAAAATATTGATGTGGCTGTTTGATATAACTCCTCCCTTCACAAGTTCGGGATTATCCTAGGGATTATCTCAAATTTTCCAGATCATGCAGATTTTAATGAATTAATGTTTAAAAGAAAGAAAGAAAATTAACGGGGTCTGTTTGCTACTATACTTAATGCGGGTATTTAACTTAAGCTTTTAGCTCATAATATAGCCTGTTAAACAAAAGTGGAATTTACTTTCTTTATAGTTTATTTTAATTTTGTTTTCTATTCCCAATCTTGTTTCGGTCTTTTTACGAGTAATGCATTATTTTTTAATTGTCTTTTTTGCAGTCGGGTTATTGGTTTTTTAATTACTCATTTTATTTGCTATTACACATACATTATTATTTTTTTTATAGAAGAGGGGGCAAATTATTCAAATTTAAATTAAACATAATTAAAGCTAATATAGCTTAACATTGAGTTATTATAATAATAAAAATTCCGACAAATGTAGGCTATGCACAATTATTGAAGTTTCGTACATGAGAAAACCCGTAGGTGTAAGAAGACACAGAAGGAAATGAAACAAATATTGTTAGCTCGCGTGGCAGGCCGATGGGCAACAATAGTTTATATTATTTCCAGGAACATGGTGCTAGACATCTGTGGAATTTCACTCTATGGCCTCTTATGATACCCAAGGGGATTTTTATGGAATGGTCCATTTTCTTACGCTGCCAATAGACGGAAATTACGCATATGGTGTTTCGGCTAAATTAAATGTTCAGTTTTTATTACAAATTAAGGGGGATATAGTTTAGTGGCAGAGCAATCTACTGCAGATCAATAGGTCCACGGTTCATCTCCGAACGACCCCTGAATTTATCCATTGTTCTTGTAATAGTATAATGTTATTTCACTTATTTCTTGGTCCTATTAAATAAATGTGCTGAACTTATTACTAACGCTCGAAGTCAATATAGGAATACTTACCTACCTGTGGTCTAAAACGTCTTTTTTACTTTGTGATTTCCTTGAAACCAACGTCCCTTAAGTCACTGCTTGCTATCGATGATTGTCACTATAAATTGAGTGTCTAACAATATCTGCTGTTCACTGTGTCTCCAGTACACATAAGTACTTACTGACTACATTTTTAGTCAAAAACGATAGATAGTTTCTATATCTCTAAAAAAGTCTAACTTATTTCTTGTATTGCCAAAATGATCACTTATCAACTAAACACATTTCATTGGCTTACGGCACATACTTACATGCATAACATACCTGATTAACAAAATGGGAAAAACAAATAAAACATTATCTAAAGTGGAATGGTTTATTAATTATCGAGGATGAAAAACTGCGCCGATGCCTGTCAAATGTGAAAAAAAAAATCCTTTAATTTGTGCGCTCACTCAATATCATACTGAATGATTAATTTATTTACTATTTTATTTTTATTATTATTACTATATACAAAGACTACTAAAGAAATAATTACTGATAAAATGAAACATAAAATAATGTACAAAACTCAGAAACAGAGTTGAATAAAGTAAAGTAGCCGTGTGTAAAATGGAACGTCCTAGAAAAAGAGTAGTTGAGATGCGTTCAAAATATAGTATGTTTAGCCTTGACGTAGAATAAGCTTAAAGAAATATTAAAAAATATTTTTTCCTGCGTTTCTTTTAACAATGTGATAAGCGTAATTAATTTACAATACAATTAGCTGAATTTTAAGATTTATTTTATTTCTATACATAGTGAGGTAAAAAATAGCCATCTTTCTTTGTAACTAGGTATCAGTCCCACCAGGTGAACTATTATTCGTCATGTATTTTATCATAGTTTTTAGTATAAATGGTTCATGTAAATTAAATGATAAATACACAATTTTATGAAAATAACAAATACACTGCTAACCATAGCATAACCTCTCCAAGACTGCAAAAAAAAGAAAACCATGATCCTGAAACTCCTGCATTCACCGAATTTCTGCAAGTCTTATCAGATTGTAGCAGGTACGAGGCTGCCACTCTAGAATTTCTTTGTCATTGCCAATTTAATTTGTTCAGTTATTGTTTGTCAATTTTGTTACCTACATATTACTATCGCCATACTCTAAACACTCCGTCAATTTGATCTTTATGCCCATTGTCATCCTGTTTGAGAAATGGTAACAAAGTTTTACAGCTGCTGATAGATGATTAATGATATAAAGAACACGAAAAAATAAAAACTAGTTTAAAACATTTGAAACGGTTTGCTTTTGAAATTAAAAAAAAAAAACTGTTTTTTCCAACCCTGTGTGTGTGTTTCTGTCTAGTTATGAGAGGTTTACATACACATGTGTAAACCTCTCATAACTTTTGAACGGCTTGACCCATTTGAACGAAATTAGTGGCGTTTGAAAGGGTTTCACAAAAACAGATTTTCATAACGTTTTCGTTTTCAACCGATTCGGAGTAGATTTTGAGAATTCTTAAAAATAAATTGTTCAAAAAAAACAATTCCAAATACAACAATGAAGTGTAAAACTTTTAAAGAGATGTAACGATCAATTCCAAATCTAATGAGCTTCTTAAACATGGAAAGGTTGGTTGTTGTAAACTGCTTCAAAATTGGTATCGATGACGAGAAATTTCGATTGCCACCAATTACATCATATTTGATTGATCCGTTCAAAAGTTCAAAATTTCTACTTGAATCGGTTTTGATGTAATGAGTTAACTATTACTCCGTAAAAATATTTGTCGAGTTTTTTGAGTTCGAATATAGCGGGAGGTTCCAGGGATGGCCTTAAGGGTCAGCAATTTTTAGATTTTTTTGGTGTGTGTGGAATCAACGATGTTTATACTATTTAATATAAAAAACATAAAAATCGGATCACAACTTACGAAGATGTATACGTTACATATACAGATTTTTTGCAGCTATGTTTGGAGCAGAACTATGTGATGCAGTTGGCTTTAGGTAAACTGCAATTAAATAAAAAAAATGTAAACACATTGTTAAAAAGCAGTCGGAAAATATTTACGTTGAAATTTTAAAAGTTATTGGAGTTTAATATACGAGCTTTGTGAGATTTTTGGTTTACCGTAATGCGATCATTGGCGTTACGGTAATGTATTTTGATGTAAAATTGTATTTTAGTGCGGCAAATTTAATTTTACTAAAAGATATTATTCAGACAAAAAAAAGAATATTATATTTATCGTCCTTTAATCTGAGTAAATCATAATATATCATGAGCATTTAGGCGATTACACAATTAACTTTTTCCTGCGGTTTTGCTCTCGTGGTTATCTAATATTATTAACATTGATTAAAGGATGATTCACGCTACAACGTGGCGCGGCCGGAGCCGTGCGCCCGGCCGGGGCACGGTCAAACATTATGGTGTACTTTTTGTATGAAGCGATTCATGCCTAACCGTGGCCCGGCCGTGCCCCTGCCGTACGCCGCCGGGACTCGGCAGGGGCACGGCGTTGAAATGTCTGTGGGTATTGTTTCCCGGCTCCGGCACGGTCCGGCCCCGACACGTTGTAACATGAACATAAGCGCCCGGGCGCCCGGAGAGCAGTCAACGTCAAATCTTAGTGAAGTGAGCAGCTCAACAGAAAAATGGACGATGAAAAATTATTAGAATGTGTGCGCAAGTACCCCGTGATTTACGATATGAGCCATCCTAAGTATTTAGATAACAAATACAAAAATATTATTTGGAAAACCATTTCGGACGAAATAAAACATTCTGGTAAGTTGTAACTTTTATTTCAATTTACATTTATAATAGTTATTCAAGTGTCACTAATTACTTTACGACAACATGTAAGTACATGTGAGTGGGATTATCGGTTTTTAGTAGATATTTTAGAATATGTTAGGTAAATTATAAGAAGTATATTATAGCGTAAGTATGTATTTATTCTTGATACTGTTGTCCTATAAAATTACGTCCCGCTGTTGACGCTAAATATTCTTTAAACGTTTCTCTTACCGCAAGTGCATCATTGGCCGGTCTTCCTGGTTGACCGCTCAATGGATTTAATAAATGTGGTTGCGAATTTTGTGCACTATGATTGATAAGCCCTGTGTAATCTTTTTGTTCGCATAAAAAACTATGCAGTACGCATGTAGATAGAATAATGTAATCAACATTTTCTGGAGCAAGTTTCATTCTTCTTTGAAATATTCTAAATTTTTGTGTCAAAATACCAAAGACATTTTCGACTAGTCGCCGGGCCAAAGACAGTCTATGATTGAAATTCGTTTTATTAGTGTCACCTGTTGCTTGGTGTCCTGGATAAGGTCGCATTAGGTATGTTTTCAAAGAAAACGCTTCATCGGCAACTATTACATATGGTGCAAACGTAGAGGAACCGGGTAAATTTTTACCAATAGGTACATGAATCGTCCCATTTTCTAAACGTTTTCCAAGATTACATTGTGCAAAAATGCCACCATCACTGTTTTATACAGGTTGTAAAGAAGATTACTTAACTTGTTCATTCTATACTATCTTTTTGCAGATGATGTATGTAAAAAAGGTGGGCAAACATAAGGAACCAGTTCAAAAACATAGAAACAAACGTAAAACCAAGAGTAGACAGGGTGCTGTGGCTATAAAAAAATATAAATATGAAGAGAGCTTGAATGTTTTACTGCCTCATATACAGGATCGAAATACAATAACAAGTATCGAGTCTGAGAACGAAGAGACGCAAAACGAAACGGTTACTTCGCCAGTTACTACGCCTACCGAAACAATTAACTCCGATGAACAGCAGCAGCAGGAAGATCGCTCACCAGCTATTAGTGAAACAAATTTTACGCCACCTGCTGATCCGAATCCATATCCCCTGTCAACTACACAATTCACTCGTTCCGGCAACAGCAATCGCAATGCAACCGTTGCAACTACACACAATCGCCGTCGTATAGTGCCACAATCCCAGTCCTCTGCGTCAAGCGCATTAATGGAATACATTCTAAAAAATAAAGAAAAGTCCAACACACAAGACATTCATCCTATTGATGCATTCTTCAACGGTTTGGCAGCCACCATAAAATCTTTTCCCCTTACTATCAGCATCTTGCAAAAGGAAGAATATTTGCAGTAGTACAAGATTTGGAGTGGGAGCAATTGTCATTAGAGCCTTCTTTTTACACATCTCCAATGAGTGGAACAACGTCGGCGTCGTCTACTAATTCAAGGTCGGTGTATGCACCGGTTCCGATGACTACACCAACGCCAACACCGGAATCAACGCCTACGGAACCTACGCCTTCGGAACCTTCGCCTTCGGAACTTACGACTTTGGAATCTAATAATTTGTCTACTTTATTTTCAGAGTTCACGGCAGACTAATGAAATGAATAAATACTATGCGAATTATTTAAATTTTTACTTTTTTCATTCACAATGCAATTTTGATTATTGAAAAATTGAAAATGAAGTATTTAGAAAAAATCGACCCATCTTACAACCAGCTCTGATAGATGGTTGTGAGACGGGTCAATTTTTAAATACTACATTTTTAAATACTATGTGATTTAGTGCACATCAATTTATTATTTACCTGATGCAGACTGATAATCGTTCGATGGGAGATATAGGCTTTTGAAATCTTGTAATTTTTTTTGGTTAGGTATGGTTTTACTTTTTCAAGTAAAAAAAGTAAAGCATTCTTTAGACATTCTAAAATAACCATAAAACTGCTCTCATCATCTATTAATTCTTTGTAAAGTAAAGCAAATTCTCCTTCTGCTCCTCGCTTTCTCCAGGTTGGATGTACACCCCATCATCTTTTAGTAGTTTCGCTTCGTTTTTCCAATACTTCATCATCGATGGCAATTGCAATAGCTGCCAATTCAAATTGTGAAAATTGCATATTTACGTAAGCGTGAAGTCTATCGACAGATGAAATCGCTAGCTGACAAAAATCACATAACACAGAGTCGTGCATAAGCCACGGTTGTGCAAACAGCCCGGTGTAACATGAATGACTGGCCCGGCCGGCGCACGGTGGACGTGTTCTGGCCGGGGCACGGCCCGGCCGCGCCACGTTGTAGTGTGAATCATCCTTAAAACTATTTTTACGGATTTTATCGCGTTTATTTTACTATTATTTTTAATTCCCGACGTTTCGGGCGCTTTCCAGCACCCATGGTCACAGGGGACTGAGATGACATTGTTAAACCCGGAGTACCTTCAGCTTTTTTAATTATTGTTTATGGTCCGATCTATGCAAAATGAACTGACTATGTCCTGAGATCCGGGTTTAACAATGACATCGGGACGTCAGTCATCTCAGTCCCCCGTGACCATGGGTGCTGGAAAGCGCCCGAAAAGTCGGGAATTAAAAATAATAGTAAAATAACGCGATGAAATCCGTAAAAATAGTTTTAATCAATGTGTAGTGTTCGCGTAAATATAAGAAATCATTATTATTAACATTGTTTCATGCGATAAATTAGTAGAATGAATTAACTTATGAAGTTATCTTCGCGTCCCTATCTATTCTATGGTAATGCAGATGTTTATGGGTTACAGTGATCACTTACCCTGAGGTTAAACGAATACTTATTTTCCTTCTGTAACAAATGGACTTTTCTGTGTGAAAGCTAAACAAATATTTTATAATGAAATTAATAGTTATTTTGCAACCCAACGCTCAATTAAATACAATGATGTGTCTTACCTAGATTGAAGAAAACCATCCGCCTTCCCTCAATTGCGTGCACTAATCCTGTCACCACTAATCCCAGCACCACTACTATATATATAAATATTTTTATTACGGTTTTCAGAGAGCCACTCTTAATTTAGGCTCAATACCAACAAGTCTGAAATTTCACAAAATATCTTGAAGACATGAAAACTATCTAAAAATATATAATACCTATAAATATATTAAAGTTCCCATTTTATGTATGTCCCACATTGGGACGTATAAAAGCTAAGTGAGTTACTAAGTTTCTGCAGTCTAATCCTTAATTTAGGGAACCTATTGTGTTTTTCTATTTTATGAATGCGTTATTATAAATATTTTATGTCTTATACAAAACACCAGGTGTATCTTATTTTTTACATTAAAATGAATCTATAACAATAAACCTACCTTACATAACATACTACCCCATATCGTCCCGTGGGTATCGTAAGAGCCGACTGTGGGAAACAAACCAGGAGATAGGCAACAGCGTATTCCTGATAACAACTCAAAATTTTAAAAATCTACGGTTGCCAATCATCTTGCCAAGCATGTTAACTTCAGTAATATCACCCTTATTAGGCAATCTATGGGAAAGGCCTATGCTTTGCAGTGGACTTTTATAGACTGTCATGGATATAATGGATGGATTAACTATCTCACAGGTAGTTATGGACCGGTCTCTTTTAATTGTCATTAAGTTAAAAAAGAGAAAGCGATTTACATTACTTATATAATCCCAATTACAGAAGCTATTGAGAAAACTGTCTAACTTTCTAAACTTCCGTATTTTTCTATTTTGCTATCGACTGTATCAAATTTGAAATTTGAGTCGTGTGTTACAACTACAGACCGATATTCCTTCTGAGCCGCGTCTACGTGCTGTTTTCGAGAGTCATTACGAATCATCTCGCACGCAGACTCGACGACTTCCAGCCTCCCGAACAAGCCGGTTTCCGAAAAGGCTTCAGTACCATAGACCACATACACACCCTGCGGTAGATTTTAAAGAAGACCGAAGTGTACAATCTGCCACTTTACCTGGCGTATGTGGAATATGAGAAAGCCTTTGATTTCATCGAAATTTGGGCGGTGCTACAGTCCCTTCAGCGGTGCCAAGTTGGCTGTCGGTATATCGAAGTGCTGAAGTGTTTGTACAGTAGGGCTATGATGGCTATCCGAGTACAGAATTAGAGTTTGAAACCTATCTAACTGCAGAGAGATGTAAGACAGGGTGACGTTTTATCCCCGAAACTCTTTACCGCTGCATTGGAAGACGTTTTCAAGCTACCGGACTGAAAAGGATACGGTATTAACATCGAGTACATCACTCACCTTCTATTTGCCGACGATATTGTCCTTATGACAGAATCGCTGTAGGACCTAAGTACTATGCTCAATGACCTCAGTGGTGTCTCCCAACGGATAGGTCTTAAGATGAACATGGACAAAATAAATATCATGTTTAATGTCCATGTCACACCCATACCGGTAGTTTTTGGGAGTACTATGCTCGAAGTGGTTGACGACTACGTTTACCTAGTACAAATAGTCCGACTAGGTAAGTCCAACTTCGACCAAGAGGTCAATCGACGGATTCAACTCGGCTGGGCAGCGTTCGGGAAATCTCGTCAGGTATACTTCAAACTCTGAAAACCAGATTGTACAACCAATGCGTGTTGCCAGTGATGACTTACGGATCTGAGACGTGGTTTTTCACTGCTAGCCGTATGAGGACGCTTAAGGTCGCTCAGCGAGCTATGGAGAGGGCTATGCTCGGAGTTTCTCTGCGTGATAGACTCAGAAATGAGCATATCTGCAGTAAAACCAGAGTGACCGACATAGCCCAACGAATAAGTCAGCTGAAGGGGCAAGGGGCCGGCCATATAACTCGAAAAACCGATAACGAATGAGAAAGAAAGGTTCTCGAGTGGCAGCCTAGAACCGGTAGGCGTAGTGTAGGGTAGGGGTAGACTGCCCACTAGATGGAATGACGATCTGGTAAGAAATGCAGGAAGTCGATGGATGCAGGTGGCTCAGGACCGTGCTTTGTAGCATTACTTGGGGGAGATCTATGTTCAGCAGTGGACTTGTGAAGGGCTGTAATGATGAATGATGATAATTCAATGCCTGAAAAAAGGATGATTATTTTACCAGAGATGCCTGAAATTAAAGATGCTTTTTTCATGAGTCGTTTGGTTATTTTTAATTAAATATTTTCTCCAATTGAAAAGAAGTCAAGCGATTTTGTCACGTATGTCAGTCTTGCAAAAATTCAAGGATAGCACCGCATCGTTTCGCGAGTTGGCAAGCCCGCAAACCGTCTTGTAACTACTCGTGATCGATCAGATTCTTTGACGGCTTTTATCAAAGAAACTGGCACAGTGGCGCGCGGCGCAAGTGATACCTACAGCGGAGGTGCTTAGTAACACTTCATATCACCCTCCTCATCATCACTAATAACTGCTTTAATTTGTCTTTATTTTAAATTTTCTTGCTTTTATGTTTTCCCGCACATTTGAAAATAAATTGTCACTTATAGATGTAATTATGCGCACTACTGTGAAGAAGTGTGTCAAGGATTCGGGTTCGGCTAGCACTAGAAAAGCAAAAATAAAAGAATTCGATTTCGGTGCGGTGTGGTGAGAGGAAACACGTCGCCCGAGAAAAGTATTGCTTATGCGATTTAATTTCAATGATGCGATGTTATGATCTGTGACCCTGACAAATGACCGGTGTACGACAGTTCTCTAAGTACAGGTTGCCTTAAGATGCTATTTTCTAAAATTTTAATAAATCCGTAAATAATAACATTTACTGTAAATATAATACTTCATGATACGAAAATGTAAAAACGTATTATGGTGTTAAATTAAAGTCACAATTGCACGTTGTATGATCTGTCCGAAGTCCTGATGGTAACAAAGCATTTGTTTAATCCTTTTCTTGACAATGTATCATATCATACGTAAAATAATAAATAATATTGAAAGTAAAATATGAAATTTTTCTTTCTCTATAAATTATTAAATATCATTGTAAATTTGCCTAAATTAATTTAGGCAAATTTACAAAGATATTTATTTATTACATTATTTATATTTCTTATTTATATTAATTAGATTATTTATTAAATTAGTGATAATATCTAGAAACAAACAATAAACGGCGGTAACTGTTAGTGGCAGTTTGAAATTTCACTAATTAAATCGCCGAATCTTTATTAAAATTCAAGAAGTATTATTATGTACTTAAATAAATTGTTCCATAGCCATAATTAAATTTAATTTATATCATCAATTAAAGGAGACGGGCGAAAGTTCATAGAAAGCTGGGCCTGATGTTGCAGTATCGATTACTGCATTATTTTATTTATATACTAATACCATTAAAAAAAAACTAAAATATTTACGACTTCTTCATTGTAGATATGATGTTATTTGTTTGTACATGAATAATGTTGTTGCTTGTGTTATGCTTACAATATTATTCTTACACCAAGCTCTCTCATTAAATTACGACTAAATTAGACTTTACCATAATATCAGGAGGATTCAGACCCCGTCCGATTAAATTCTAGAGGTTTGAAATAATTATAAAAAAGCTGAGGAAGTATGAATTCAAAACACGTGCGCTTTCAATGATTTATTCATCGTCCACTTCATCAAAAACAATTAAAATATCGTCTAAAAACGGTGCAGGCGGTATTAAATTCACTTGATGCCTTGCCCAGCTTAGGAACCATATTATGGACATTACATGACAACAGCAACCTACAGTTCTATTTCCTACCAAGCAATTACATTAATATTGCTTGATGGCCTCTCTACCATTAAGATAACTGTCAACTAAAATATATGTAAAATATATTTTTGAGCCTACATGTCTAGATTTTATTCGACCTCTTAATAGCCAGCTAGAAGGATTGAATATTGACAGTTCTCTTAGTGAGTTGCTGTCCGTTTCTCGACACACTTCTATTTCATATCTCCCATCTTGTCGTATGTGTTCTCGATAATAGGACCTAGCCTGCTTAATTTGATAAATACCCAAAGATATCTTTATTAAATCACTATGTGTGAGCTGGGGAAAGTCATTTAAGTCATCATTTTGCACATGAATTCTTGTAAAATCTGCTCTACGTCGGTTTATATTATTTTCAATTACGTAACAGCCTAAATCGTTTTCTTTTTTCATGTTTTCATTGATTATTTGTAAAATATCCCCAGCATCAACACCATTTATAATAGGAGGGTGAAAAGCATTTAGTAGAGCGGCAGCCACATCAAAATCTATCATTAAATGCTTCGAAGCAGTATTTAAAATAGTCTCGTCTAAATAATTTAAAATCTCTTTTAAATCTTCCGTTAACTACTTCAACAACCCATCTGCATATGGTGACTGTTCTCGATTTATTGGCCTCTATTATGGAATGCTGCCATTCACCCGCCTGCAATGTTGGTGGGACGTAAGTTCTATAATCACATTCATGTAATAACGGCAATGAATCTCTGAAGCCCCTATCTAAAATGAATGCATCACCAGCCTGAAAGTATTCACGTAGCATTGAACTAGGATCACGAAACTCACGATTAATGATATCTACATCTGATGTGGTAGCAGGATAGAGGCCCATTACATCAATAATATGACCGTCTGCACATACAATCATTAATGGCTTTACCAAGTTATTATACTTAAGCAAACTATAAGTTCTTTTTTGGTACAAATAATTTGAACTTTTTTCTATAGAGCAATACGTTCCATCAATTTTTATTACAGGTTTCCCCGTTATAGTTTCCAAATAAACCGCGTGGTATCAACAAGGTTCTGTCAACAATTTGCTGACAATTTATATGGTTAAGTCCTAAATGCCTAGGTACAAAATATTTATATAGTAAGTAACGAGCATCAGACACATATCCATCAAGAGTTCTTTTAGGAATGTTAAACAGAGCTGATATTCTCTCATTAGAATCGCCGATTCTCAGCTTTATCAAATATGCTGTTAACCCAATAGGGCCCGATGACTTTTGCAGCAATTGTGGCACTTCATCTAAAATCCTTTGATACTGCTCTTTCGTAAAGCCTAACCAATGGTGCACTAAACGGTCTTCCATATTAAGAATATTGATAAAATCAAGGCCAACATTTGAGTGACTTTTTAATTCTAGCATGTTTTGAATATGCAATGCTGTAAACACATTAAGATAATTTTCTAAAGCTCCAGTGAGAAAATCCCAAGATAGCGTATTAATGGGGTGGTTTCATAATCTATTGTTTTTAGGGATATAGAAATTATAGACATCTAACAACATTTTCCTAGTTGTAACAGGAACTCTATTCCTCTTTTGTCTCCGACAACCTTCAATAAAACAGCGAGATTCAGTTTCTACTGCTCTTACATAGTCAGGTAACACTATAGTTTCACTCAGCCTGGGTGTAGCTTCTGAAGTAGCCTGTGAAGTGGACTGCAAAGTATCCTGTGAAGTAGACTGCAAGGTATTCTGTGAAGTAGACTGCAAAGTAGCCTGTGAAGTAGACTGCAAAGTAGCCTGTGAAGTAGACTGCAAAGTATCCTGTGAAGTAGACTGCAAAGTATCCTGTGAAGTAGACTGCAAAGTAGCTTGTGAAGTAGACTGAAACGTCAATTCCTCTTGTTCACTTGTTTCATATACTGATGTTGAGGATCCAGAAGGTGCAGATACAAAATGATCGGCGTTTCTACAAGCTCTCACCCAGCAACTGTGACATATGAGAGCTCTGTTTCTTGAAATCTGAAACAATAACTTTATAATAACAAACCTTTGTCTGAGAAAGAATATAACTGGCGAAATGCGGGTGTACTGCACTCCTCTGCCTTATCTCTTGGGGGAATACAGGCACGATGTTATGTTGTGTTATATATAAAACATTGTAACCATGGTCAAAGTGAACATTTGTTATTATTAATACTGACTATACATTACCATTATCATCTGCCTAGTCTTTCCCCAACTACGGAATTTGACCCCAAGGTTGACGTTTAGTCTATCTAGATGCAACTGAATACCAGTATTTTACATTGGTACCCCTAGGTAAGACTGGTTGTCAGACTTTCGGGCTTCTACGCACTACCATACTATAGTATAAAAAATAAAAAGCAACTGATCCCAATTAACACTTACAGTACGAGGCAAAAGCCATTCACAAATGACTGTATAAATCCTTCTTTCTCGTTCAGTGCCAGTATGCAATAAATGAGACCTGGCACGCAATACTGAACGTCCACAGTTGACACACACTTGACGATGTCCAGTTGTTGCACATGAAAGATGCTCATCTACGTCCAAAGAATGTGTTACTAAAGTCCTGCATTCTTGGCAAATGCGATGAGAACTGTTGACCTACAACAATATTAGTTTGTTACTAATAATAGTGCTCGGCAAGAAATAATATAGATACATGGAAGTAAGTGAGACTTAGCTAGAATTATTCGTTGCACAAAGTACTGGCTAGATACAGACAACAGTGAGAGGAGGACAGCGTTTAAAAAACCAATGCCAGCCGAACTCATTTTCCGAGTGTCTTTCTGAATCCTATGTGTTCTTATTATTTCTTGCCGGTATTGAGATTACATTAAGATTATATATTTAATAAAGTGTAAATTATCCTATTGTTGATTAATTAAATTGCTAAATTTTTTATAACTCTGTTATTAATATGAAAAGGACTACGTTAACATTTTGTGGCATCATATAGTATTTTTACTAAAAGAGCTTTATGAAATAAATGCCATTAATTGACGATCAAACCGTTCAGTAAATCTTGTGTTAAATGTATTTCAATCATAGAGTTAATATAGTGATTTAAGAATAAAAATCGGTATTATTTTTATTTAATAATTAATTTCTTTTCCCACGATAAAACTGCTTAATATTTCATTATTGATTACAAAAAAACTATAAAAAAATGATAAATATTTCACTTGTGTAACGGTTAGGCCCAAATTCGCCCATCTCCTTTGTAAACTAATTATAAATTGTTACACCTTTATGAATTTTGTTTTGTTTTCAATTGCAAGCTGCCAGTTATTCTGCCTCTCTTAATTGAATAAAATGTAATCCTAGTCAAGAATATAAAAACGAAAATGTTAACATATTAGGTAAGTGAAACTTTACGGATTTGAGTCAAGCACTAAAAATAAATATTTTATCGCTGCTAATCAGTTGTCATGAGTCACTTTTATTTATACTTACCTAGTTATTTCGAAGTAATAATACATATTTATTAATGTATGTATATTTTGTATGTGTAAACTTTTAAGATATATCGTGGGGGCTTGATTAATATGTGTTTATTATGCTGTGAAGGAAAAAAGACTTAATATTTATGTGAGGGTGGGAGAAGGAACGACAAGATTTTTCTCTTTTATTGCAGAGCCACGTAGTGAGAACTCTGAGTTCTACATAAAAGCGTTAAAAACACTACCATTACCGATACCGTTACAGCATTTCAAACGCCTATAATTAAACATTTATAGTTTCAAAATAAATAAATAAACAAAAACGGGGAAGTGATTAATATGTGGAAAATTAATGTAAACGTTTCGGTTTTGTTAATCATAATTTATATATGAACATTAAATATTATGTATATATACATACATATTTAATGTGTGTGCTCGTGTTTACTTTATTTATAATATTATATTTTTATTATCTTTTTAATTTAACTTTTTTAAATTTGAATTTGTTTACTTTTATTTTGTTTTATTGTAACAATGAAAACATACCTCGTAATATTTCTCTTAGTGTTACCTGTATTATAACTCTGGGAGAGGCCGCTGATTCCTAAGATACACACTCTTCTAGTTTAGGAGTCAGAGACTTCATAAATTATTGTGATTTATTTTTGAAAATAAAGAAATAATAATTACCAAAATATTACAAAATTATTGCATACAACTTTTATAATAAAAAGCTTTTAATTCGTTGATAATCAAAAAAATACATATAACAATAAACGTACCAAAATGCTTCAAGAATAGCTTGCTTAGCAAGAGTTAAAGTAAGAAACATAATGTGGAAAATTTGTTTAATATGCAAGCCTTTTATCATCCTTATTTTACCTCCATCATTATTTCAGCATATAAAGTGATGAAATTCGCAAAATGAAGCAATTTTGGTACATACTGCCCCTTAAAAAAATCAAATTATTTGACTCCATTGAGAAATCAATGTTGAAGCAAACGTTAAAAAAATTAAAAGTTAAATATACGCGATAAATTCCGTAAAAACTAGTGTTATTTCAATGTGTAGTGTTCGCTTAAATATAAGAAATCATTATGTAAACCAATAAGGACTGGTTAATTGCAAATAAAATACGCCGATTAGAAGATCTAAAGACTTAGCGCGCAAGATATCTAACAGCCTTAAATTTCTTGAAGAGATGCCTAGACCATAATCCCATTCCTACGTGTGTCAAAATATCCACCAAAAAGGACATTCGAGGAAGCGCTAAGATCTTAAATCAGGCGAGTAAAAAGTTGTTACGGACGGTAATCCAACAATAACGCTCCGATCTATATGGCATAAATAAATTCATAGACACATCATCCAGTGAATTAAAGAAATTTTTAACGACGTTTGATTATAATTTTTGCATGGAAACATTAAATAAACGCGAAATTAGTAAATATAACGAATGCAAAAACAAACATAGAAAAATATCAAAAATTAACGACCAAATCAAATGTCAAACATCCGAATCAATGCCAGAACCAAAAGCAACCATTGACAAACACAGATCATAGATTAATCGCGTTCTATAATCTGTCAAAACAAACACTGGATGATGCAACAGTTAGACATTTATCCAAAGGCCTCAATTTTGCTAATTCCACGCAGATTACCGTACGAAGAAATTATCTGTAGGGTCGAGGACTGTTTATTTAAAAACAATATGCGGAAAAAAGTTTTGAAGGCGATGCGTCAAGAGGTTTCTTCTATGTAACGTCGATGTTAAGTACCTAAACCGAATATTCCCAAAGATGAATTTATAGCGTTAAAGAACCTACGCAGTAAACCAGAATATAAGATTCTCCGCGCAGATAAGGGAAACGCCACGGTAGTCATGAATACGTCAGTAATTCTAAAATACAAGAACTTTTGTCGGATGTAAGTACTTATAAAAAAGGTTAAAAACGACCCAACAAAGAGCACACTAAAAACAACTAGTGACCACATAAAGAAACACTCCGAAAACACACAACAACACAAACATCTGGCTACCTATTGTGGAAGGCGGAGTTCTACAAGCAAGTAGATGGTGTGGCGATGGGCTCACCTGTATCTCCCATTGTCGGCGACGTATTCATGAAAGACTTTGAGGAGAAAGCCTTGCTTACTTCTCCCATAAATCCAAGATTCTACAAGCGGTACGTAGACGACACTTTCACAATTCTACATTTAGATAAAGTAACTGCATTTTTAGACAATCTCAACTCTATAAATACTAAAATTCAATTCACAATGGAGTTAGAGGCAAACAATTCTTTAGCTTTTCTAGATGTGTTAGTAATTCGGAATTCTGATAACACCTTGAGCAATACTGTTTATAGAAAAAAAGACCCAAACAGATAGATATTTATCGGTGATTCTCACCACCATCCTTCACAGTTAGCTACAGTGGGTAAATCTTTGTTTCAGAGAGCACGAGGGATCTGTGACAGTAAACACCTGGCTGCCGAGCTCCAACACGTCAAGCAAGTTTAACATGACAACAAGCTTCGAGTCCCGCGCCCACGTCACAGTGAACGAGTGAAACCGTCCACAGTCGAGCGTGCACCTGCTGTACTGCCATATGTTAGAGGAGTCACTGACAAGATTGGCTACATCTTGAAGCGCGCTTCCATCAAAACATACTTCAAGCCGCCGAAGAAGATTGGTCAGTTTTTACCATCAGTCAAGGTTCCTCCAAAGCAAGTGCTGATTGTGAATGTGCTCTCTCCTACATAGGACAAACTAAAAGATCAATTAAAAGCCGAGTTAAAGAACATATAGCTGATGTGAACAATCGACGCTCCGGGAAGTCTGCAGTCTGTGAACACGTGCAGGATCGCCCCCGTCACTACATCAGATTTGACAGACCACAAATCCTCGCTAAAGAACACCGATTCCTTTCAAGGATGATTCGCGAGGCTATTGAAGTCAAAAAACATCCCAATTTCAATAGAGAAGATGGCTGGGTGCTACCATTTGCTTGGGATCCTATAATAAATAAAATTAAATCCCAACCCAAACATACAATTGCAAGACTGCATGATACCATAAGATCATACTGTGTAGATTGCAACAAAAGTTAAATTTTTATCTATGGTAACCGCGGTTAACTATGACATCTGGACGTTGAACATCTCAGTCCGCCCGTAACTATGGGTGCTGTAAAGCGCTCGAAACGTCAGGTATTTAAAAAGTTAAATATACGCGATAAATTCCGTAAAAACTAGTCTTATTTCAATGAAGCAAAATATTTGATTTGAATACGTGGTATGGCAGAAATAAAGGGTTGGATACTTGCCGAGCGTCTGATTGCCTGATCGTGAACATAATTCATGCACTCACTCTCCAAACTGTATCCAGTAGATCAATGAAAGGCTTTGACCACGATGATGTCACCAATATACCTTCAAGCACGCTTATCAAAGTTGCCTGGTTGCATTTTACAGCTAAATTTGGCAGGCTCGTACTTTATTTAGAGTAGGGTAACGTACATTCACAGGGACATCAAACAGCTTCATTAGCCCATACTTAATGAAGTCTTAGAACTATATTTATTATTCCGGCAGTCGTTTTTTGCAAAAGGGGAGATCTGTTCAGCTTCTCGATTCCTTTTAAAAAAAAAGCGATTATTTAAAAAAAAAACACCACGATAAACCGCTTCGGACTCAAATATGGAAAGCAGTACTCATTAAATACAGCTATATCTAATTTAATGTTACGACACTCATACGTATAAAAAAATTAATACTCTGATTAATTACTTTAAACTGAATTAATTTGAGAATATTATTAATATTATGCATGTGATATTAATAGTATATGCAGTCATAATTTTTCTTTTCCGACAGTGGCTATCAAATGTAATTGTACACGCTTTTAGAGAATGAGAAAAGTATTGAAATTTATGGCTTTTTTAAATCAAGATGCTATAAATATCATCAAGCGCTCAGAAAGATTTGCTAAAGGCATTCAACAGTAAAATAAGGAACATAATTTTGATGTAAGATTAGCAAGGAGCCCATTAATGTTACGAATGGGAGGAAAGCTATACTTAATTATA